GCCACCCTGCAGCTTGAGGTCAGCTTAGTGTCTTTTCTCATGTTTATCAATGAGATTTGCATCCATGTGGCCTGGATGTTTTGATGGAGCAGTCCGAACAGGATTACACAGAGATTCCAACAACTAATTCATTATTGAGCCAATTATTTCAGCAAAAACAAACAAACAAACAAAAAAAAAAACAACCCCTGGTTTCATGCATCAAGGATATTTTTAGTCTGCTTTCTTTTGTTAATGTGCAGGGCCATTTAGCTTTTTGGGCTCAGACTCTGAAAAGGTGGTCAAATTTGCTGGATTCTTGTCAGTTTGTGTAATGTTTGACATTTTCAGCTGTATCACTTAATCTGTGATTATTCAAAGTAACTAACTGTTAAATATGCAAATGTGAAAACAATGAATTAAAAGCAACCAATGTTCGGCATTTTGATAAATGGCAATTAAATCATCAAAACTGTTCTCTAATCGGTTATTCCAGCACTAATTACTTGGAGTATCATCACCTGAGTGTGTTTTGCAGCTCTTTCAGGCAGGACACGCTCCGAGTGCTGCGAGGTGATCCTCTCCCTCGCTGCAGAGGACCCAGCTTCAGCTCTTCCACCTGATGCTGCAGCTCCTCCACCTGCACCTGCAGCAGCTCCACCATCTCTGTCAGACTGTACAGAAAAACAAACCTCTATCAGGTTAAAGGGAATATTTTGGTATAAAAAAAGGCTAATAAATTAATGTCAACAATCACTTCTCCAGAACAGACAACCCACATCTCCTGTCTCACCCCTCGATCTTCTGCTGGGCTGTCCTGTTGTCCAGAACCAGTTTGTGGTTGCTCTGCTCCAGCTCTCGGGCCGACGCATCAAGCTGCTCGTACACCTTAGCGTGCTGGTCATTGACCTGCCTAAGCAGATCCACCTGCTTTGTCAAGTACTAGAGGACAGCCACAGGGGTGGGGACATGAAAGAAAGGACAGTTTGTTGTACATCTGCTGCTGAGATGTCTAAAATTATTAGACATCCAGTTGTCTCTACTACTAACCTACTGCTACGATTATTATTAGCAAGATTGGCATTGTATGGCCAGCAAAATAAAACAAAGTGAACTTTATACAATGTGATTTACAGAAGATGAAAAATACAGATTTTTAAAAGACCAATAAAAAAGATGAACAGAAAGTAAGTGATGTGGCCTTTTCTAGTGCTGTGCCCAGGTTCTGGAATATACTTCCAGAGGAGCTGAGGGCTCTTACCTCTCTGGAAAGGTTTAGAGACACATCTTTTTTTGATGTGCTTTTAATGTTTTTTTTGTCCACTGATTTATTATTCAGTGCTGATTTTTAGATACTTAAATTGTGGAGTAATTTGACATACTTGATTGTTTACTGTACATTTTTAGTGATTATTATCCAAATGATTTTGTTGTTATTGTATCACTTCCTGTTTTATGCTGCACATTGCTGAGGTCTGTCAGAGGTTTCTTCCGTTAAAGTGAGGTTTTCCTCCCTGCTGATAATAATAATAGTAAGGTCTATAAAAAAAATCGAATGTTTTTAATTCCTAGTGACATTTAAATGTCTCTAAAAGCTCAATCAGTGGCTCCTTTAAGGAATATTTTTATTTAAGAACAAGTTATCTTATCAGCTGTTGCAGCCACGGCACTTTGAACCCTTCGTCATCTAGTGTGCTGAAAAAACAACTTCACGCAGTTATCCAGACAGCTCGTGGTCAGACTGCTTAAAATACAGACAAAAACAGTACGGTTCAGTGTGTCAGTGTTTAACAGGTTGGGTCTGGTTTTTACAGTTGTGTTTCATGGCGTTTCTAATATATTTGTAATGTAATTTTCGTCATATATATAAATCTAAACCATCGCACAACAACAGTAAATTGTGCTAAATTGCTTTCCATAGTAATGTTAGTAAAAAGCTGCACAATGACAACAATCACCTAGAAGTTCCTTCAAACCGGCACTTTTGATATATAAAATATTTTGGGAAACAAAACTCTTTCCATTTTCAACCACTAACTTTTAAAGTCAGTAAACAATGTTCTTCCATCTATATCCCCCTACTGGGATTTGTAGTTGGACAGTAAGAGGATGCTGTGTAGTGGTCGAGTAGCAGTGTGAGGTGGACATGTCGCCGTCATAGTGGAAATTACACCTTTGTATGTTGGTTTATGTTGTATTTTTCTTTGAAGCTACTGTAATTTAAGGCCTTTGTAATGCAACAAGAGTGAAGAGGTCACTGATGGCTTTACCATTATTCCCAGTCCGGTCTTATTGTTTACAGTATATCCTGCTGTAATTAAAGCTGTGTTTAGGACATTAGTGAATTCTGGATGAAGACACCAAAATTCAAATGTCTCTTTTACCTCGATCTCCTGCAACTGCTCCTGGTTGGTGGAATACATCTGCTGCAGCCCCTGCTCCAGCTCCCTGTTCCTTTCCAGGAGGGATTTTCCGAGCTCGGCTGCCAGCTGCAGGTCTGCAACAGAGACAGAGGGCTTCAGGACTTACTGATGGAGACATGGGAGACCTTACTGTACAAACAGCTTCCTAAGGGTTTGTTGTTGTTGCTGGCGGGGTTTGAGCCACAGGGCTTATCCGCCTTTTGTGCAAACTAATATCTAGTGTTTTAATAAGTATGGACTGCAGGCTATTTCTTATGCACCTATTATTTGATACAGACAAAGATCAAGCCCCTTATGATTTGGTCTTTCTTTCCTTTACCATACGACACTGAATAAAATCACAACTAAATATTAAATATGACACAATGAGGATGAAAATATGTAACATTAAGAGGGAATATTACGCACACAAATGTATAAGATTTGGTGCAAAGGTATGCGCAAGGTCAGGACTTCATTTCAGATGGATCTTTTGCTGCATGTCCTGCTGATTCCTGCAGCCCACCAAGCTGTTTGCTTTCCACTACAACAGTTTGTAGACAACATAAACATTCTTATTATAAATAATCAATTAGGTCAGAGGAATCGCATAGAAATTCCTACACCTAAGCCACTGTGCGCCTGCGGCTTATGGGTGACATACATGTCAAATGTGCTAAATAACTCCATAGTACAACTATAATGCGCCTACTTTTTGTTATCCGGCTGTTAAAATAAGAGGCAATGTGGTTTATCTTTAACGGTTCAGAGACAAAGAATGGAAGGAAAACTGTACCTTGTTCAAGGTCTTGCTTGTCGTACCACGGTTCCTCCTCCTTGATCTCAAATTCTTCCTCCACAGCCGTGTCTGTCAGCATCTTCACGACCTCAGTCACACAGTGCGATGATCGTTCCGGCTGTTAATCCTGACAAAGACAGACTTGCATAAACGGCAACAAGCAGTTCAGTCCGTGTCCTTCCCGCCGGCGTCCGTACTACAGCAGAATTATGCTTCCATCACCGGACAGACGCACGGATCGCTAATGAAACGCTGCAGTGTTCAATACAGGCTTCCGGCGTTGAATTTCAAATTAAAAGCTGGTGACCATGTTGAGGCTAGCTTCTCTTGTACAGAAGGGAGGAAAATGGTAGCTCATCTAAACCACAGCTGGATCAAGCTCCTAGGGGACCCTGGACTCTCACAAACAAGGCAGTTTCTTTAGGCTATTTTACTGAAAAATGGGGGGGGAATATGAGAATCTTCATTTTTGTTCCAGTTCATTTAACCCCGCCCTGTCCCAAAATCTGTTATTAAATAAAGGTTTGTTGGATGTAATGACTCTGAGCTCTGGACAACAAAAAGCCATTTAATGGATGCTTTGTACAAAATGTAAATGCACTGACTAAAATCAGTCAAAAGTCATGCAAAAACTGTCAAAAACAAAGACAATAAAAGCATATATTTAAAAGCAACACTGTATGACAAGATATCAGAATGCACATATAAATACCAATTGGTCTAATAAAGCTTTTGAAAAACTAAGCCAAACATTCAAACAAATATCTACACACAAATATCTATATGATCATGACTGCCATGTCTTTTCACAGATGGATTTCATTTGCTTTATTTTGAAAACCATACCTCGTGTTTTCCGGTGCAGAGCGGTCTGTCTCTGTCTGTTTGACTCGGTTTGACCATCCGTTCACCTGCTCCTCCATGTCTGGTCCCTCCCTTTAAAGCCGCGGTGCACAGACACTATGCGACCACACGGGGGCACTGCCGCGACAAAACATCCAGTCTGTGACTATTTCATCCCTGCAAGAATATTGTAATGATTTTTATGTTTAAACATTTATTCAAGCACCCTACTTAAGAACAAATGTATCTGTATTTTACATAAGTATTCAAAATTTTATTTCCTACTGAGACTTCATCACATTTTAGAACCAAATATTAAACCTACTTTTTTACTCTACTACATTTATTTGATAACTTACTTTTCAGAATCACATAAATAAAGCAAAACCAGCCTCAGTGAAGTGCGAATTGCATGAAGTTTCCTTACCAGCTGCCTTTTTTGTGTTGTTATTTTAGCCACCTGTGCTGTAAACATTTTGTTTTTCCAGGAATCACTGTCAGTGGAAAGCAGTAAAACACTGATATGCTTTTCCATCAGCTGGTGGCAGTGTAATCTCACATTTTCCTCTGTTCAGCACAACACACCCAGCATAAAAACATTGCCCTTTACTCAAACAAAGAAGAGCCACAGACACGGATTTGCAGTGAATATTTCGTAAATAAATAAACATGAACGTTACATGACTGGTTTTGTTTATTAAATTGATGTTAAATGAGGAATATGCCACAGAGGATGCTCCCCACCCTTTAATCAGCTGCACTATCAGATTTCAGTTTCACTACCAGACTCAGATGGATAAAAACATTATCCACTGTGGATGTTTTCTCTGAGAAATGGCTTTCTGCTCTGGAACCAGGGGATGATGATTCAACCTATTCATTTCTTACTCTCCTTCCATCGCTCTTTGCCCCTAATGAATTATAACATATTTCTGTTAACTACCAAGCAGGTATGTGGAGGTGTTTTTGTTTAATTTAGAGGATTTTTTCCCCTTTATGTATTTATTAATATGCTTCTCTTTTATTCCTTTCACAGTCAAAAGTATGTGGATGTCCAGACATTACACCAATATACTGTATGACTGATGGAAATCTACATTAATCTGCTGTCATAACATCCTCCACTCTTCTGGAGCTCTTTTTCATACATTTTTGAAACCTGGCTGCAGGGATTCGTTCACATTTAAGCCATAAGAGCATTAGTGGGACTGGACACTGATGTTGGGTGATGAAGCCTGGCTTGCACTCGATAGATTGTGTTGTGGGGCAGGGCTCTGTGGAGGCCAAGTTCTTCCACCCCAAACTGGGAGAAACGGTAGAGGTGCTGGCATGTTCAAACAGGGAAGCAGCTTCACCTAATTGTTTTTGAAAAGTTGGAAATATCATTGTGTGCTATAGAATTAAGTTTTCCCTTCACCAGAACTAAAGGGGTTTGACCAAACATACACAAGACAGTGCACACAAATACAGCTCATTTGTAATACCGAATACAAGAGCCCATGAGTATCTTTGTCTCTTCTAAATTGCCTCATTGTTCTTTGATTTGAATGTATTTTAAGGACTTAATAAAGCCGCTGATTAATAACAATGACTCAGTGATTACTCAGCTAGAACGTGAAATTTATGAGCTGCACTTAAACATTTTGAGCTGAAAATGATTTTGTGAAAGTTGGGTGATGAGGCCTGAAAGTTTCTGATTTCTCCTCCAGAGCCACCTCGAGGTTGATATTTGTAGCCTTTAATAAAAACTAAATTTGGTTCAGACAGTCATGTCTCCCTCAAGATGGATTCTAACTTTGGTTCTTCAGCATCAGGTCAAATTTTGACTGTACTCAGCAGTTATCAAATGTTAGCATGCTAACATGTTGGCCAAAGAGCATGTTTGCATTTACAATGTGAGCTTATTATGCATTTATCTCAAAGCAGCGCTGTGCCCAAGTGCAGCCTCACAGAACTGCTAGCATAATCTTGCTAATAGTGCAGCAACGGGAACGAGGTTGTGAGACATTTTCTCTTGGATGCGTAAAAATCCTCAAGTCAATAAAGGTGTGAACACACACAGGAATTCTTGAAAGGTTTTATCTCTATTCTGTTGAATGAACAGGAATACTTGAAAGGTTTTATCTCTATTCTGTTGAGAGTAATCTGTTGATTGTGTTCATTATTATCACCCATGAGAAGTCCTGATTACTGACACAAGTTGAGTCAGAACAGATTTTCTCAAACAGATTGTGTGAGCTGAGGCTGGAGCAGTCCCTGATTTTAGTGGGACAGAAGTCACAAAGTGTCTCTATGTCAGGTCGTGGATCAGATGCTGTAACATCACAAGCTTTTCCTTTAAGGCCTCTTAGCTCCAACCTTTCATCTGATACGTGGTCCCCTCTCTTCCCATCCATCCTCCATCATCTTTCTGATGTCTCCATCTCTGTTTTGCGGCTGTCAGTGAGATGAGAGAAAAGGCAGAGCAGGAGGCAAGAGCTCTCTGCAGGGATTTGGCTTCTCAGAGTGATGAAATTGCTGTGATGTTTTTTTTTTCTTGCAGAATCAACACTCCATTTGTGTTTTGCCTATCTACGCTTACACCTGTGGCATTTTTGCTTTTATTGATGCTGTATTGCCTTTTCGCTTTGGTTTCCATGGGATGTGAACTGCCACAACAACCCCATGCACTCGTTGTCAGACAGCGATCAGACGTTTATCTCAAATGCAAAACAGCATGTTTTCTGTGAGGCTCTACAGACATATTCAAGCAGCTCAATAACAGAGGAGGAGGAAGTTGAAATATTACAGGTGAGAGTGCAAACAAACCAGACAATCACCACTGTGTTCAGGACCCCAATGACACATTCCTCCTCCTCGCCTCTGCAGCAGTCTGATTTAGTACTGGTGTTTCTTCCTGCTTCCATAGTGTGGAAGCAGTGGTGTTAATGGGCAGCAGCAATTGATAATCAGTCGCTAAAAGAGAGATTTGGTGCTTTACTGATCCATTTCCCTACCAACCAATGGGATTTGAACAAGTGCTTCTGGGTAGAACTTCAACACACACACACACACACACACACACACACACACACACACACACAATGTGTACAAATGAGCATTGACTGTTTTTAGTTATTGACTGTTTTTAGTTAATGTTCAAAGCTCCTTTTAAAAATTGCATTTATTAAAAAATTTTAATGCCATTTGTTCTGGACATGTGCACAAACAGTCAAGGATGTGAGATATACTGGCACTGAGGAGAGAGGTTGCCATGACAACCAGGCCGTTTGCAAAAATCAGCGTGATGCCAACTCTCATCCAGGATCACATATGGGCTTGTTTTGTGTGTGTGTGTGTGCGCTATCCATGCTGTCTCTACTGTATGTGCATGCATGTTTGTGTACCAGTTTACACACAGAATGCAACAGACAGAAAATAAGGAATGGGAAAAAGAGACGAGGGAAAGATGATGGTGATGATGGGAGAAATTGGATTTGGATTAAAGAGAGCAAACTGTTACAACTGAGCACCAACATCAAAGATGTGGTTGACAGGGGAAACTATGACACTAAAAAAAAAAAAAAGGCTGAATTTCCCCAGTAATCTCCCGCCCTGGGGCCAGTGGTTAAAACAAAACTCTGTGAAGTTGACAAATTTAGTTAATCTCTCTCACACAGCTCCAGGGGATCACAGAGGCTCAGGGACAGAAAATGATTCTCACTAGCTTGACGATGAAGTTGTATGAAACAGAAACGTCTCCTGCCCTTGACAGAGGCATAAGACTATGAAATTACAATAAATGAGCAGGCAACAAAGCTAACTGATCAAGCAGAACTAACTGAAGATCTCTGGTTGGTTAGAGAGGTCAGTCCTGCTCAAAACCTTTTAGAAGCTAATAGCTCTGCACTGCTGCCAGGGCTGTTCAGTGAGTCTGGGTCACAGGAGCCTTCACCAGCACCTTAAATTTTGGAGCTTATTTAACAAACAAATATATTAGCAAAAAAAATATACTGTAGCTTTAAACAGCACCTGGTAAATGGCATGTTAGCATCGTTACTGTGAAGGTGTTTGCATGTTGATCTTAGCATTTACCTCAAAGCACCACTTGCTTAAAGACCCAATGAGGAGAGTAATCAGTATGTGAAGGAGTCAGCGTAGGGTACTGTAGCTCTATTTCAGTTAATTTTGTGTTTTCCAGAATGATTTTACTCTACACACCCACACAGCACATTGGTGTGATCGCATTTCTGGGACCTGATAAGTTTCTGAACACAAACACACGCAGGAAAAAGCTGAGCTGACCACTTCTCTCCAGCAGCATAGTCCAACTGCTGAGTGAAGACAAAACGTCCTGGCAGCTGGCTCTGTTTGTAGCAGCGCTGATCTGCAGCGCTTCTTTCTGGATCAGCCTCAAGCACAACATTAAGAAGCAAAGCATTCAGACAATTTTGTCAGCATCTAATATCAAAAAGTTTTTTTTTTTTGGAAGCATTTTTGTCACTGTCAGCCAATTTCTCTGAGCTGACCACTTCTCTCCAGCAGCACAGTCCAACTGCTGAGTGAAGACAAAACGTCCTGGCAGCTGGCTCTGTTTGTAGCAGCGCTGATCTGCAGCGCATCTTTGTGGATCATCCTCAAGCACAACATTAAGAAGCAAAGCGTTCAGACAATTTTGTCAGCATCTAATATCAAAAAGTTTTTTTTTTGGAAGCATTTTTGTCCCCGTCAGCCAATATCTTTGTCTCACAGCCAGTCTCTGATGTTTCTTCACAAAGCTGATTGTTTTATCAGATTTACAAACAAGACAAATAGAGAACATTTGTGGTGTTTTTTCACTGTCATTTCTTGGACACATGGTATGCAACAGTTTGGCCTCTTGCAGCTCACTTTACTGTAACATATTTACAAATGAAAAAGAAAAACCACATCAGTCACTGCCGGTCTGTTACTTTTTCCCTTCTGTGCACATGCACCCCCTGTTTGCTGTGTGGTGCATGGTCTTTTTCCACCTCTGTGTGTGTGGTCTGTGTTTCTGTGACATGCAGCTGCTAGTTGAAGAGTTAATAATGAAATACTTAGGCTTGTCCCTCCAGTGTTTGACTGACGATTGATGCAGTCTACTGATTCTAATTTAGGTCTGTCTGGAAAGGTTCTATAATATTTTTAAGCTTTCTGATTAAAAGCAGGCTGTTAAGTCAAATTACAATAGTCATTACATTAATTACATTTTAACTTTTTGTAAGCACAAACAAATGGAGGAAACCTTGGAAAAAGAGATCAATCATTTTACATTTTAGCCTAATAAAAGCTGTGCACAATTGATCCGACTGTGTTTTGTTAATTTGTGGTTTGTGTCTCAAACTGAGGCCAGTTGATGGCGAGTTCCCAGGCTGCTTTTTGTTGCCATTCTATCCATTAATATTTTCTAGAACTTAGTGGCGTTGTGTTTTTGGCTAAATGATGCCAGTGCTCTGACTGCCTACACCACCAGGTGTATTTGTTTAAAATAAACTTCTCTATTTATTCAGCCTGCTAAAGATGCAGCCTGTTGGAATAAACGTGATCGTTTCTAAGAGGAACTAACAAGCATCGAATCAAAGTTTCATTTGTCAAAAAGCCCCAGAAGAGTTTGGATTTGGAAGGATTATGAAGGGGCCCACTGGGCAGAGAGACACAAAATGACCAAACTGTAGCAAAACGGTGCCACAAAAAGACAAAAGCTGAGCAAAAAGAGAAGCAAAACGACCACAAAGAGACAAAATAGCCAAACAGATGTCTCAACATGTCTGTGACCAGGAAGCCATTGTCTCATAATCCCTGCACAATTAGTGGACAGTGACTTTGTTTTCTAGTATAAACAGTTTGGTTCAGTCTGTGATTTTTCCTGAGCAACAGAAGAACACGAAAACATGCACGATATTCATTTCCATACTTAAAAACAGATTCATTACATGATAATTGTGCTCATACCTACTACGCCGCACAGTACAACATGAACCAAACTGATGAACCTACAGAAAGTCAAAATCAGCGATTCAACAATAACCAATCTCCCGGTTGACACATAAAAAGAGAAAGTGTGCGTGTACGTGCGTATGTGTGAAATCAGGTTTATGCAGATCTCGACACTATTTCAACCAGGGTGGATCCGTGTGTGCTTTCCCATTCCTTGAAGCGTTTATAGTGCCGCACCCTGTCTTCTGTGCGTAAAACCTCCCACGTAGGGTACATCATCACACACCACGTTTCCCCCAGCAGCGGGACAAGCGGAGGAGAACGGTTCACCTCACGGACAGGTTGGACACAGAGATGGGAGTGGAGCGGCGGGTTTTCTGCCTATGACACGGACACCCCGGGCGGGAAGGATGGCTCTAACCAGCCGGGAAATGTTGTGCTTGATCGGAAGCGCCTGGCTCTGGCTGCCCAGCACATTAAATTTTGGAGCTTATTTAGCAAACAAATATATTAGCAAAAAAAAAAAAATACCAGCACCTTAAATTTTGGAGCTTATTTAACAAACAAATATATTAGCAAAAAAAATATACTGTAGCTTTAAACAGCACCTGGTAAATGGCATGTTAGCATCGTTACTGTGAAGGTGTTTGCATGTTGATCTTAGCATTTACCTCAAAGCACCACTTGCTTAAAGACCCAATGAGGAGAGTAATCAGTATGTGAAGGAGTCAGCGTAGGGTACTGTAGCTCTATTTCAGTTAATTTTGTGTTTTCCAGAATGATTTTACTCTACACACCCACACAGCACATTGGTGTGATCGCATTTCTGGGACCTGATAAGTTTCTGAACACAAACACACGCAGGAAAAAGCTGAGCTGACCACTTCTCTCCAGCAGCATAGTCCAACTGCTGAGTGAAGACAAAACGTCCTGGCAGCTGGCTCTGTTTGTAGCAGCGCTGATCTGCAGCGCATCTTTGTGGATCATCCTCAAGCACAACATTAAGAAGCAAAGCGTTCAGACAATTTTGTCAGCATCTAATATCAAAAAGTTTTTTTTTTGGAAGCATTTTTGTCACTGTCAGCCAATATCTTTGTCTCACAGCCAGTCTCTGATGTTTCTTCACAAAGCTGATTGTTTTATCAGATTTACAAACAAGACAAATAGAGAACATTTGTGGTGTTTTTTCACTGTCATTTCTTGGACACATGGTATGCAACAGTTTGGCCTCTTGCAGCTCACTTTACTGTAACATATTTACAAATGAAAAAGAAAAACCACATCAGTCACTGCCGGTCTGTTACTTTTTCCCTTCTGTGCACATGCACCCCCTGTTTGCTGTGTGGTGCATGGTCTTTTTCCACCTCTGTGTGTGTGGTCTGTGTTTCTGTGACATGCAGCTGCTAGTTGAAGAGTTAATAATGAAATACTTAGGCTTGTCCCTCCAGTGTTTGACTGACGATTGATGCAGTCTACTGATTCTAATTTAGGTCTGTCTGGAAAGGTTCTATAATATTTTTAAGCTTTCTGATTAAAAGCAGGCTGTTAAGTCAAATTACAATAGTCATTACATTAATTACATTTTAACTTTTTGTAAGCACAAACAAATGGAGGAAACCTTGGAAAAAGAGATCAATCATTTTACATTTTAGCCTAATAAAAGCTGTGCACAATTGATCCGACTGTGTTTTGTTAATTTGTGGTTTGTGTCTCAAACTGAGGCCAGTTGATGGCGAGTTCCCAGGCTGCTTTTTGTTGCCATTCTATCCATTAATATTTTCTAGAACTTAGTGGCGTTGTGTTTTTGGCTAAATGATGCCAGTGCTCTGACTGCCTACACCACCAGGTGTATTTGTTTAAAATAAACTTCTCTATTTATTCAGCCTGCTAAAGATGCAGCCTGTTGGAATAAACGTGATCGTTTCTAAGAGGAACTAACAAGCATCGAATCAAAGTTTCATTTGTCAAAAAGCCCCAGAAGAGTTTGGATTTGGAAGGATTATGAAGGGGCCCACTGGGCAGAGAGACACAAAATGACCAAACTGTAGCAAAACGGTGCCACAAAAAGACAAAAGCTGAGCAAAAAGAGAAGCAAAACGACCACAAAGAGACAAAATAGCCAAACAGATGTCTCAACATGTCTGTGACCAGGAAGCCATTGTCTCATAATCCCTGCACAATTAGTGGACAGTGACTTTGTTTTCTAGTATAAACAGTTTGGTTCAGTCTGTGATTTTTCCTGAGCAACAGAAGAACACGAAAACATGCACGATATTCATTTCCATACTTAAAAACAGATTCATTACATGATAATTGTGCTCATACCTACTACGCCGCACAGTACAACATGAACCAAACTGATGAACCTACAGAAAGTCAAAATCAGCGATTCAACAATAACCAATCTCCCGGTTGACACATAAAAAGAGAAAGTGTGCGTGTACGTGCGTATGTGTGAAATCAGGTTTATGCAGATCTCGACACTATTTCAACCAGGGTGGATCCGTGTGTGCTTTCCCATTCCTTGAAGCGTTTATAGTGCCGCACCCTGTCTTCTGTGCGTAAAACCTCCCACGTAGGGTACATCATCACACACCACGTTTCCCCCAGCAGCGGGACAAGCGGAGGAGAACGGTTCACCTCACGGACAGGTTGGACACAGAGATGGGAGTGGAGCGGCGGGTTTTCTGCCTATGACACGGACACCCCGGGCGGGAAGGATGGCTATAACCAGCCGGGAAATGTTGTGCTTGATCGGAAGCGCCTGGCTCTGGCTGCCGCTGTTGGCGGAGGTATGTAGAGTGTGATGATGGGGTTGATTTTGCATTGTGGCCTATTTTTAATGCCTTCTTTTTTTTCTAGAGCCATGTCCCGTGAATGTCACGCTTTGCTGACTTGTGCTCAATTTTACAAACAAACCTTAATTGGGTCCATAATTAAACTGATATTTAGATTGATAATCCTGTATAGAATTAAGGGCAGGACTGGCTCATTCATGTTTTCGTGCTTGACAATAAATTCAACCTTGATTTATTCAGGATGCATTTCCAACAGCGCGGGTGGAGGTCGGGCATTGAAGGCGCATCAAACACTTTTAATCTGTTTTAGCCGATTAAAGGTGCAATGTCTAAAAATTGCTGTCACACACTCATGCATGGTTTCAATCACAACCCCTCCATCCTCCTCGGCGAGCTATCATGAGAGGAACCCCGTCGGTGGCTCTTCTGCCCCCGCGGTGTTGTAGGAATGAACCCTGCACAGGCTGCTGAAGCCTGTCAGCCGTTCAGCCAACTCAGACATGCTGAGACCAAATCTAGGGAATCGAGTGTGTGGGTCGGAGCATCCTGAGTTATAGCTGGAAGTCAAATTCAGTCCTAACATCAGATTTCTTAGATGAGTTGAATGGCAGTTAATCAGCTCATCCAGTAATCATTAGATTTATTCATTTTCTTTTTTCTCATGTTATACTACAGCATGTGTGTTGTGTTAATGTGCAGCGTATGAGCCGTGCAGCCTGTGGAGAAGTCATTAGAGGAGCAGAGCTATGTGCAGGATTTAATTAGACCCAGTAACACTGGAAGCAGCCGTGCATGCAGCACAAATAGCACACTGCAGATGAGTTTCAGCTTTTGTCTTTTTCAATTTCTTTAGACAAACCTTTTCATCAGGAGAAACCTGAAGGCAGCAGCACTTTCTTTTGTCTTCAACATTAGAACAAAACATCCAAGATGTTCACAGAAAAACAGGAACGAACCAAACCCTCAAAAGCCATCAGTCTGTAGCTTGTCCTGTGAAACCTGCAAATACTCTGAATCGCCTCCAACATTAGTCAGGTCTCTGAGACCAGAAGACTTCAGATGGCTCCATGGTAAAACAGTAAGTTACAGGATTAAGTCCCCACCTGGCCGGACCCTCCTGCAGGGTGCTCACTCTGGGCCCTGCAAGCCAAGGACAAAGTCAGAATAAAGTGATGTAAATACAGCAGCATTGCTGTATAGCTTTGTATTGTCTAGATCCATCAACACTGTCTCCTTCTACAAATTATGTTCATGTACTTCTAATTGCATTATTCTATCAGTATAATTAGAAAGTTACCTGGTCCTAAAATGTTGATACTATTTGTGGAACTGCACACAGCTTTTGTGTAGATTTTAACTTTTGACTTGCAAATTTGTGTTGCTGACCAAATGTGAACCATCCTGACAGTGCTGGCCTTACAGAGATCCAAAGAGCTCCACGTGCACGATGAAACTACCAGATAAAAGATTGAGATTGGGGGGGATGCTTGTCACCTGAAGACAAGCATTTCTCAAACTTGACCAACAGCCAAGACCATTTTTACCATCTAGGAAAAAACACCACGGTCTCTGTGTCCAGTTCTTTCTCTACGGTGTCTGTGTGTGTTTGCATGGCAATGCAGTGGACACAGCTGTGAGGGCGTCGTAACCGATTAGCGCCGTAATCGAGCCGTGTGATTGATATGAATGGAAATATCAGCACCCGTGTTCACTACCACAGGTCACCTGTTCCTGCTCTAATATCATTAGGCTGAGCAAAGCCTCCTGGGAGGAGGTGTGTGCATGTTGGGCTTGTAATTGTGGCCTCGTTTGTCTGCACTTGTGGGGACTCTGGCGTTGTGGGGATCAGATGCTGGTTCCCACAAAGTAAATTGCTGGATTTTAGGGAAATGACTTGGTTTAAGGTCAAGGTTAGGTGTTAGTGGTTATTGTAAGTGTCCAGGGTAAGTCAGTGTAAAGACCTGCTGTGTGTGTGTGTGTGTGTGTGTGTGTGTGTGTGTGTGTGTGTGCTGGGTTATTGGAGGGGAACAACCAGAGAGCCTAATCCACCTGTGTGAAGGTGAAATGTGTTCTCACTAAGGCTATTTCACAGTGACAGCAGTGCATGTGTGTGTTACATACACGTATGTGTCCTCTCCTCATCTGTCAGGTGCCCCACTGTGTTGACCTGATTTCTGAAACTGAAACAAACACTCCTCTGTTAGATCTCATCTGCTGCCTAGTATGTTTACACTGTACACACTCTTACACCTGGCTAGATATATACTTTGTTCCTACTGAGCCCTGCTGTCAATACAAAAACTCATTCACAAATGTATGACAATAATACAAACGCTCCTCAGTTTACATCTCAGACTTTACTTTGGTCTCTGCTTTCTGACATGATGGTATTTAACATTCAGGAATATGAAGAATCCACCCAGAAAGTGCATACCTACACCCAGGCTGTAATAGAACTCGTGAATTTGGAGCTGCATGATGTTTGGATAAAACCTAAATGTATACGAGAGCTTTGTACAAGAATGAGTCAGACCCCCCAGTGCAGAGAATCATCAAGCTTGTGGGATTATTCTGAGTTCACATGTGCTCGTGTCATCTAAATTTGGTTGCAATTACACAGTGCCTTCAATGTCTGCCTGCTCTTGTATGAATAACATGTTTTTTTATTTAAATAATGAGCAAACTACTGAGATTATCTAATGAAATTCTAACTTGATGCATATTTCTCCTTCTGTCTGTAGGTGTTGGCTGAGGACAGCTACTTAAATGAGGTGCAGAACTCAGGTAGGTGTGAGGTGATACTCTACTCCTGTCTGCTCACCCGCATCCCGCCTCTCCTCCTACACCATCTCTGCCCTCCAGCTTCACTCACCTTCTGACTCAGACACTCATAAATCCTGCTTCTGCCCCTCCTCCTGTTATTTCTGCTCCCACACTCAGTCTTACCTCTGCTCTTTCTCTGCATCCCTGAGAGGAATGGAGGCCATGATGACGATGACAACAGGGGGTGGGGCGAGGAACTCCTCCTCCTTCTCAGGCTCGTTTCCAGTGTCTAAATATCTGCCATGCACACACTGACAGGCAAAAAACAACACATGCAATTATAAATACACCTTTAATTTAGTAGCAACAAACAGCTTTTAATAGCAAGTGGAAATCACCTGGATAGCAAGTTGGTTTTCACAATCAGGAAGCAGCGAATTTCTCTGGTGCACAAAACTGTATCAAATCAAATCAAATTTTATTTGTATAGCGCCAAATCACAACAAAAGTCATCTCAGGACACTTTACAAAGTAAGGTCTAGACCTTACTGTTATCAATATTATTACATAGGGAAAACCCAACAAATCCCCCTTGAGCAACCACTTGGCGACAGTGGGGAGGAAAAACTCCCTTTAACGGAAGAAACCTCCGACAGACCCCGGCTCTTGGTGGGCGGCCTTCTGCCTCGACCGGTTGGGGTGAGTGGATAGAGGAGAGACAAAAGAAGAAAAGCAACAAGACACAACAATCAAACACTGATCAGGTCGATGTGGCTGGTGACTGCT